CAACATCACCACAGTTAAGTTGTTCCATGTCTTCAGCAACATCACCACAGTTAAGTTGTTCCATGTCTTCAACAACATCACCACAGTTAAGTTGTTCCATGTCTCCAGCAACATCACCACAGTTAAGTTGTTCCATGTCTTCAGCAACATCATCACAGTTAAGTAAGTTGTTCCATGTCTTCAGCAACATCATCATAGTTAAGTAAATTGTTCCATGTCTTCAGCAACATCACCACAGTTAAGTTGTTCCATGTCTTCAGCAACATCACCACAGTTAAGTTGTTTCATGTCTTCAGCAACATCACCAGTTAAGTAAGTTGTTCCATGTCTTCAGCAACATCACCACAGTTAAGTAATTTGTTCCATGCCTTCAGCAACATCACCACAGTTAAGTAAGTTGTTCCATGCCTTCAGCAACATCACCACAGTTAAGTTGTTCCATGTCTTCAGCACATCACCGCAGTTAAGTTGTTCCATGTCTTCAGCAACATCACCGCAGTTAAGTAAGTTGTTCCATGTCTTCAGCAACATCACCGCAGTTAAGTAAGTTGTTCCATGTTTTTTCAGTTTGTTCAATGTCTTCAGCAACATCACCGCAGTTAAGTAAGTTGTTCCATGTTTTCAGCAACATCACCGCAGTTAAGTAAGTTGTTCTATGTCTTCAGTAACATCACCACAGTTAAGAAAGTTGTTCCATGTCTTCAGCAACATCAACGCAATTAAGTATGTCTTGTTCTATGTTTTCAGCAACATCCCCACAGTTAAGTAAGTTGTTCCATGTCTTCAGCAACATCACCGCAGTTAAGTAAGTTGTTCCATGTTTTCATCAACATCACAACAGTAAAGTTGTTCCATGTCTTCAGCAACATCACCGCAGTTAAGTTGTTCCATGTCTTCAGCAACATCACCGCAGTTAAGTAAGTTGTTCCATGTCTTCAGCAACATCACCGCAGTTAAGTAAGTTGTTTCATGTTTTCAGCAACATCACAACAGTTAAGTTGTTCCATGCCTTCAGCAACATCACCACAGTTAAGTTGTTCCATGTCTTCAGCAACATCACCGCAGTTAAGTTGTTCCATGCCTTCAGCAACATCACCACAGTTAAGTTCTTCCATGCCTTCAGCAACATCACCACAGTTAAGTTGTTCCATGTCTTCAGCAACATCACCACAGTTAAGTTGTTCCATGTCTTCAGCAACATCACCACAGTTAAGTTGTTCCATGTCTTCAGCAACATCACCACAGTTAAGTAATTTGTTCCATGCCTTCAGCAACATCACCACAGTTAAGTAAGTTGTTCCATGCCTTCAGCAACATCACCACAGTTAAGTTGTTCCATGTCTTCAGCAACATCACCGCAGTTAAGTTGTTCCATGTCTTCAGCAACATCACCGCAGTTAAGTAAGTTGTTCCATGTCTTCAGCAACATCACCGCAGTTAAGTAAGTTGTTTCATGTTTTCAGCAAGATCACAACAGTTAAGTTGTTCCATGCCTTCAGCAACATCACCACAGTTAAGTTGTTCCATGTCTTCAGCAACATCACCGCAGTTAAGTTGTTCCATGTCTTCAGCAACATCACCACAGTTAAGTTGTTTCATGTCTTCAGCAACATCACTACAGTTAAGTTGTTACATGTCTTCAGCAACATCACCACAGTTAAGTTGTTCCATGTCTTCAGCAACATTACCACAGTTAAGTAAGTTGTTCCATGTTTTCAGCAACATCACCACAGTTAAGTTCTTTTATGCCTTCAGCAACATCACCACAGTTAAGTTGTTCCATGTCTTCAGCAACATCACCACAGTTAAGTTGTTCCATGTCTTCAGCAACATCACCACAGTTAAGTTGTTCCATGTCTTCAGCAACATCACCACAGTTAAGTTGTTCCATGTCTTCAGCAACATCATCACAGTTAAGTAAGTTGTTCCATGTCTTCAGCAACATCATCATAGTTAAGTAAATTGTTCCATGTCTTCAGCAACATCACCAGAGTTAAGTTGTTCCATGTCTTCAGCAACATCACCACAGTTAAGTTGTTCCATGTCTTCAGCAACATCACCAGTTAAGTAAGTTGTTCCATGTCTTCAGCAACATCACCACAGTTAAGTAATTTGTTTCATGCCTTCAGCAACATCACCACAGTTAAGTAAGTTGTTCCATGCCTTCAGCAACATCACCACAGTTAAGTTGTTCCATGTCTTCAGCAACATCACCGCAGTTAAGTTGTTCCATGTCTTCAGCAACATCACCGCAGTTAAGTAAGTTGTTCCATGTCTTCAGCAACATCACTGCAGTTAAGTAAGTTGTTCCATGTTTTCAGCAGCAATCACAACAGTTAAGTTGTTCCATGCCTTCAGCAATATCACCACAGTTAAGTTGTTCCATGTCTTCAGCAACATCACCACAGTTAAGTTGTTTCATGTCTTCAGCAACATCACCACAGTTAAGTTGTTCCATGTCTTCAGCAACATCACCACAGTTAAGTTGTTCCATGTCTTCAGCAACATCACCACAGTTAAGTAAGTTGTTCCATGTTTTAAGCAACATCACCACAGTTAAGTTGTTCCATGCCTTCAGCAACATCACCACAGTTAAGTTGTTCCATGTCTTCAGCAACATCACCACAGTTAAGTTGTTCCATGTCTTCAGCAACATCACCACAGTTAAGTTGTTCCATGTCTTCAGCAACATCACCACAGTTAAGTTGTTCCATGTCTTCAGCAACATCACCACAGTTAAGTTGTTCCATGTTTTCAGCAACATCACCACAGTTAAGTTGTTCCATGCCTTCAGCAACATCACCACAATTAAGTTGTTCCATGTCTTCAGCAACATCACCGCAGTTAAATAAGTTTTTCAATGTCTTCAGCAACATCACCGCAGTTAAGTAAGTTGTTCCATGTTTTCAGCAACATCACCGCAGTTAAGTAAGTTGTTCCATGTCTTCAGTAACATCACCACAGTTAAGAAAATTGTTCCATGTCTTCAGCAACATCAACGCAATTAAGTAAGTTGTTCTATGTTTTCAGCAACATCCCCACAGTTAAGTAAGTTGTTCCATGTCTTCAGCAACATCACCGCAGTTAAGTAAGTTGTTCATTGTTTTCATCAACATCACAACAGTAAAGTTGTTCCATGTCTTCAGCAACATCACCGCAGTTAAGTTGTTCCATGTCTTCAGCAACATCACCGCAGTTAAGTAAGTTGTTCCATGTCTTCAGCAACATCACCGCAGTTAAGTAAGTTGTTCCATGTTTTCAGCAACATCACCACAGTTAAGTTGTTCCATGCCTTCAGCAACATCACCACAGTTAAGTTGTTCCATGACTTCAGCAACATCACCACAGTTAAGTTGTTTCATGTCTTCAGCAACATCACCACAGTTAAGTTGTTCGATGTCTTCAGAAACATCACCACAGTTAAGCTGTTCCATGTCTTCAGCAACATCACCACAGTTAAGTAAGTTGTTCCATGTTTTCAGCAACATCACCACAGTTAAGTTGTTCCATGCCTTCAGCAACATCACTACAGTTAAGTTGTTCCATGTCTTCAGCAACATCACCACAGTTAAGTTGTTCCATGTCTTCAGCAACATCATCACAGTTAAGTAAGTTGTTTCATGTCTTCAGCAACATCATCACAGTTAAGTAAGTTGTTCCATGTCTTCAGCAACATCACCACAGCTAAGTTGTTCCATGTCTTCAGCAACATCACCACAGTTAAGTTGTTCCATGTCTTCAGCAACATCACCAGTTAAGTAAGTTGTTCCATGTCTTCAGCAACATCACCACAGTTAAGTAATTTGTCCCATGCCTTCAGCAACATCACCACAGTTAAGTAAGTTGTTCCAAGCCTTCAGCAACATCACCACAGTTAAGTTGTTCCATGTCTTCAGCAACATCACCGCAGTTAAGTTGTTCCATGTCTTCAGCAACATCACCACAGTTAAGTAAGTTGTTCCATGTCTTCAGCAACATCACCGCAGTTAAGTAAGTTGTTCCATGTTTTCAGCAACATCACCACAGTTAAGTTGTTCCATGCCTTCAGCAACATCACCACAGTTAAGTTGTTCCATGTCTTCAGCAACATCACCACAGATAAGTTGTTCCATGTCTTCAGCAACATCACCAGTTAAGTAAGTTGTTCCATGTCTTCAGCAACATCACCACAGTTAAGTAATTTGTCCCATGTCTTCAGCAACATCACCACAGTTAAGTAAGTTGTTCCATGTCTTCAGCAACATCACCACAGTTAAGTTGTTCCATGTCTTCAGCAACATCACCACAGTTAAGTAAGTTGTTCCATGTTTTCAGCAACATCCCCACAGTTAAGTTGTTCCATGCCTTCAGCAACATCACCACAGTTAAGTTGTTCCATGTCTTCAGCAACATCACCACAGTTAAGTTGTTCCATGTCTTCAACAACATCACCACAGTTAAGTTGTTCCATGTCTTCAGCAACATCACCACAGTTAAGTTGTTCCATGTCTTCAGCAACATCATCACAGTTAAGTAAGTTGTTCCATGTCTTCAGCAACATCATCATAGTTAAGTAAATTGTTCCATGTCTTCAGCAACATCACCACAGTTAAGTTGTTCCATGTCTTCAGCAACATCACCACAGTTAAGTTGTTTCATGTCTTCAGCAACATCACCAGTTAAGTAAGTTGTTCCATGTCTTCAGCAACATCACCACAGTTAAGTAATTTGTTCCATGCCTTCAGCAACATCACCACAGTTAAGTAAGTTGTTCCATGCCTTCAGCAACATCACCACAGTTAAGTTGTTCCATGTCTTCAGCAACATCACCGCAGTTAAGTTGTTCCATGTCTTCAGCAACATCACCGCAGTTAAGTAAGTTGTTCCATGTCTTCAGCAACATCACCGCAGTTAAGTAAGTTGTTCCATGTTTTCAGCAACAATCACAACAGTTCAGTTGTTCCATGCCTTCAGCAATATCACCACAGTTAAGTTGTTCCATGTCTTCAGCAACATCACCACAGTTAAGTTGTTTCATGTCTTCAGCAACATCACCACAGTTAAGTTGTTCCATGTCTTCAGCAACATCACCACAGTTAAGTTGTTCCATGTCTTCAGCAACATCACCACAGTTAAGTAAGTTGTTCCATGTTTTAAGCAACATCACCACAGTTAAGTTGTTCCATGCCTTCAGCAACATCACCACAGTTAAGTTGTTCCATGTCTTCAGCAACATCACCACAGTTAAGTTGTTCCATGTCTTCAGCAACATCACCACAGTTAAGTTGTTCCATGTCTTCAGCAACATCACCACAGTTAAGTTGTTCCATGTCTTTAACAACATCACCACAGTTAAGTAAGCTGTTCCATGTCTTCAGCAACATCACCACAGTTAAGTTGTTCCAAGTTTTCAGCAACATCACCACAGTTAAGTTGTTCCATGCCTTCAGCAACATCACCACAATTAAGTTGTTCCATGTCTTCAGCAACATCACCGCAGTTAAATAAGTTGTTCAATGTCTTAAGCAACATCACCGCAGTTAAGTAAGTTGTTCCATGTTTTCAGCAACATCACCGCAGTTAAGTAAGTTGTTCTATGTCTTCAGTAACATCACCACAGTTAAGAAAGTTGTTCCATGTCTTCAGCAACATCAACGCAATTAAGTAAGTTGTTCTATGTTTTCAGCAACATCCCCACAGTTAAGTAAGTTGTTCCATGTCTTCAGCAACATCACCGCAGTTAAGTAAGTTGTTCCATGTTTTCATCAACATCACAACAGTAAAGTTGTTCCATGTCTTCAGCAACATCACCGCAGTTAAGTTGTTCCATGTCTTCAGCAACATCACCGCAGTTAAGTAAGTTGTTCCATGTCTTCAGCAACATCACCGCAGTTAAGTAAGTTGTTTCATGTTTTCAGCAACATCACAACAGTTAAGTTGTTCCATGCCTTCAGCAACATCACCACAGTTAAGTTGTTCCATGTCTTCAGCAACATCACCGCAGTTAAGTTGTTCCATGTCTTCAGCAACATCACCACAGTTAAGTTGTTTCATGTCTTCAGCAACATCACCACAGTTAAGTTGTTCCATGTCTTCAGCAACATCACCACAGTTAAGTTGTTCCATGTCTTCAGCAACATCACCACAGTTAAGTAAGTTGTTCCATGTTTTCAGCAACATCATCACAGTTAAGTTCTTCCATGCCTTCAGCAACATCACCACAGTTAAGTTGTTCCATGTCTTCAGCAACATCACCACAGTTAAGTTGTTCCATGTCTTCAGCAACATCACCACAGTTAAGTTGTTCCATGTCTTCAGCAACATCACCACAGTTAAGTAATTTGTTCCATGCCTTCAGCAACATCACCACAGTTAAGTAAGTTGTTCCATGCCTTCAGCAACATCACCACAGTTAAGTTGTTCCATGTCTTCAGCAACATCACCGCAGTTAAGTTGTTCCATGTCTTCAGCAACATCACCGCAGTTAAGTAAGTTGTTCCATGTCTTCAGCAACATCACCGCAGTTAAGTAAGTTGTTTCATGTTTTCAGCAAGATCACAACAGTTAAGTTGTTCCATGCCTTCAGCAACATCACCACAGTTAAGTTGTTCCATGTCTTCAGCAACATCACCGCAGTTAAGTTGTTCCATGTCTTCAGCAACATCACCACAGTTAAGTTGTTTCATGTCTTCAGCAACATCACTACAGTTAAGTTGTTCCATGTCTTCAGCAACATCACCACAGTTAAGTTGTTCCATGTCTTCAGCAACATCACCACAGTTAAGTAAGTTGTTCCATGTTTTCAGCAACATCACCACAGTTAAGTTCTTCCATGCCTTCAGCAACATCACCACAGTTAAGTTGTTCCATGTCTTCAGCAACATCACCACAGTTAAGTTGTTCCATGTCTTCAGCAACATCACCACAGTTAAGTTGTTCCATGTCTTCAGCAACATCACCACAGTTAAGTTGTTCCATGTCTTCAGCAACATCATCACAGTTAAGTAAGTTGTTCCATGTCTTCAGCAACATCATCATAGTTAAGTAAATTGTTCCATGTCTTCAGCAACATCACCACAGTTAAGTTGTTCCATGTCTTCAGCAACATCACCACAGTTAAGTTGTTCCATGTCTTCAGCAACATCACCAGTTAAGTAAGTTGTTCCATGTCTTCAGCAACATCACCACAGTTAAGTAATTTGTTTCATGCCTTCAGCAACATCACCACAGTTAAGTAAGTTGTTCCATGCCTTCAGCAACATCACCACAGTTAAGTTGTTCCATGTCTTCAGCAACATCACCGCAGTTAAGTTGTTCCATGTCTTCAGCAACATCACCGCAGTTAAGTAAGTTGTTCCATGTCTTCAGCAACATCACTGCAGTTAAGTAAGTTGTTCCATGTTTTCAGCAGCAATCACAACAGTTAAGTTGTTCCATGCCTTCAGCAATATCACCACAGTTAAGTTGTTCCATGTCTTCAGCAACATCACCACAGTTAAGTTGTTTCATGTCTTCAGCAACATCACCACAGTTAAGTTGTTCCATGTCTTCAGCAACATCACCACAGTTAAGTTGTTCTATGTCTTCAGCAACATCACCACAGTTAAGTAAGTTGTTCCATGTTTTAAGCAACATCACCACAGTTAAGTTGTTCCATGCCTTCAGCAACATCACCACAGTTAAGTTGTTCCATGTCTTCAGCAACATCACCACAGTTAAGTTGTTCCATGTCTTCAGCAACATCACCACAGTTAAGTTGTTCCATGTCTTCAGCAACATCACCACAGTTAAGTTGTTCCATGTCTTCAGCAACATCACCACAGGTAAGTTGTTCCATGCCTTCAGCAACATCACCACAGTTAAGTAAGTTGTTCCATGTCTTCAGCAACATCACCACAGTTAAGTTGTTCCATGTTTTCAGCAACATCACCACAGTTAAGTTGTTCCATGCCTTCAGCAACATCACCACAATTAAGTTGTTCCATGTCTTCAGCAACATCACCGCAGTTAAATAAGTTTTTCAATGTCTTCAGCAACATCACCGCAGTTAAGTAAGTTGTTCCATGTTTTCAGCAACATCACCGCAGTTAAGTAAGTTGTTCCATGTCTTCAGTAACATCACCACAGTTAAGAAAATTGTTCCATGTCTTCAGCAACATCAACGCAATTAAGTAAGTTGTTCTATGTTTTCAGCAACATCCCCACAGTTAAGTAAGTTGTTCCATGTCTTCAGCAACATCACCGCAGTTAAGTAAGTTGTTCCATGTTTTCATCAACATCACAACAGTAAAGTTGTTCCATGTCTTCAGCAACATCACCGCAGTTAAGTTGTTCCATGTCTTCAGCAACATCACCGCAGTTAAGTAAGTTGTTCCATGTCTTCATCAACATCACCGCAGTTAAGTAAGTTGTTCCATGTTTTCAGCAACATCACCACAGTTAAGTTGTTCCATGCCTTCAGCAACATCACCACAGTTAAGTTGTTCCATGACTTCAGCAACATCACCACAGTTAAGTTGTTTCATGTCTTCAGCAACATCACCACAGTTAAGTTGTTCGATGTCTTCAGAAACATCACCACAGTTAAGCTGTTCCATGTCTTCAGCAACATCACCACAGTTAAGTAAGTTGTTCCATGTTTTCAGCAACATCACCACAGTTAAGTTGTTCCATGCCTTCAGCAACATCACTACAGTTAAGTTGTTCCATGTCTTCAGCAACATCACCACAGTTAAGTTGTTCCATGTCTTCAGCAACATCATCACAGTTAAGTAAGTTGTTCCATGTCTTCAGCAACATCATCACAGTTAAGTAAGTTGTTCCATGTCTTCAGCAACATCACCACAGCTAAGTTGTTCCATGTCTTCAGCAACATCACCACAGTTAAGTTGTTCCATGTCTTCAGCAACATCACCAGTTAAGTTAAGTTGTTCCATGTCTTCAGCAACATCACCACAGTTAAGTAATTGTGTCCCATGTCTTCAGCAACATCACCACAGTTAAGTAAGTTGTTCCATGCCTTCAGCAACATCACCACAGTTAAGTAAGTTGTTCCAAGCCTTCAGCAACATCACCACAGTTAAGTTGTTCCATGTCTTCAGCAACATCACCGCAGTTAAGTTGTTCCATGTCTTCAGCAACATCACCGCAGTTAAGTAAGTTGTTCCATGTCTTCAGCAACATCACCGCAGTTAAGTAAGTTGTTCCATGTTTTCAGCAACATCACCACAGTTAAGTTGTTCCATGCCTTCAGCAACATCACCACAGTTAAGTTGTTCCATGTCTTCAGCAACATCACCACAGTTAAGTTGTTCCATGTCTTCAGCAACATCACCAGTTAAGTAAGTTGTTCCATGTCTTCAGCAACATCACCACAGTTAAGTAATTTGTCCCATGTCTTCAGCAACATCACCACAGTTAAGTAAGTTGTTCCATGCCTTCAGCAACATCACCACAGTTAAGTTGTTTCATGTCTTCAGCAACATCACCGCAGTTAAGTTGTTCCATGTCTTCAGCAACATCACCACAGTTAAGTTGTTTCATGTCTTCAGTAACATCACTACAGTTAAGTTGTTCCATGTCTTCAGCAACATCACCACAGTTAAGTTGTTCCATGTCTTCAGCAACATCACCACAGTTAAGTAAGTTGTTCTATGTTTTCAGCAACATCACCACAGTTAAGTTCTTCCATGCCTTCAGCAACATCACCACAGTTAAGTTGTTCCATGTCTTCAGCAACATCACCACAGTTAAGTTGTTCCATGTCTTCAGCAACATCACCACAGTTAAGTTGTTCCATGTCTTCAGCAACATCACCACAGTTAAGTTGTTCCATGTCTTCAGCAACATCACCACAGTTAAGTAAGTTGTTCCATGTCTTCAGAACATCACCACAGTTAAGTTGTTCCATGCCTTCAGCAACATCACCACAATTAAGTTGTTCCATGTCTTCAGCAACATCACCGCAGTTAAGTAAGTTGTTCCATGTCTTCAGCAACATCACCGCAGTTAAGTAAGTTGTTCCATGTTTTCAGCAACATCACCGCAGGTAAGTAAGTTGTTCCATGTCTTCAGTAACATCACCACAGTTAAGTAGGTTGTTCCATGTCTTCAGCAACATCAACGCAATTAAGTAAGTTGTTCTGTTTTCAGCAATATCCCCACAGTTAAGTAAGTTGTTCCATGTCTTCAGCAACATCACCGCAGTTAAGTAAGTTGTTCCATGTTTTCAGCAACATCACAAAAGTTAAGTTGTTCCATGTCTTCAGCAACATCACCACAGTTAAGTTGTTTCATGTCTTCAGCAACATCACCACAGTTAAGTTGTTCCATGTCTTCAGCAACATCACCACAGTTAAGTTGTTCCATGTCTTCAGCAACATCACCACAGTTAAGTAAGTTGTTCCATGTTTTCAGCAACATCACCACAGTTAAGTTGTTCCATGCCTTCAGCAACATCACCACAGTTAAGTTGTTCCATGTCTTCAGCAACATCACCACAGTTAAGTTGTTCCATGTCTTCAGCAACATCACCACAGTTAAGTTGTTCCATGTTTTCAGCAACATCACCACAGTTAAGTTGTTCCATGTCTTCAGCAACATCACCACAGTTAAGTAAGTTGTTCCATGTCTTCAGCAACATCACCACAGTTAGGTTGTTCCATGTTTTCAGCAACATAACCACAATTAAGTTGTTCCATGTCTTCAGCAACATCACCACAGTTAAGTAAGTTGTTCCATGTCTTCAGCAACATCACCGCAGTTAAGTAAGTTGTTCCATGTTTTCAGCAGCATCACCACAGTTAAGTAAATTGTTCCATGTCTTCAGCAACATCACCACAGTTAAGTAAGTTGTTCCATGTCTTTAGCAACATCACCGCAGTTAAGTAAGTTGTTCCATGTCTTTAGCAACATCACCACAGTTAAGTAAGTTGTTCCATGTCTTCAGTAACATCACCACAGTTAAGTGAGTTGTTCCATGTCTTCAGTAACATCACCACAGTTAATTAAGTTGTTCCATGTCTTCAGCAACATCACCACCACAGTTAAGTTTGTTCCATGTCTTCAGCAACATCGCAACATCACCACAGTTAAGTAAGTTGTTCAATGTCTTCAGCAACATAACCACAGTTAAGTAAAGTTGTTCTATTCTTCACGCAAACATTCACCCACAGGGTTGTTCCAATGTCTTCCAGCACTTCATTTTTCAACATCAACAATAAGTTAAGTAAGTTGTTCATGTTTTCAGCCAACATCCCCACAGTTAAGTAAGTTGTTCAATGTCTTCAGTCCAAAAACATCACCCCGCCAGTTAAAAGTTAAGTTGTTCCATGTTGGTCAATCAACATCACAAAACAGTAAAGTTGTTCCATGTCTTTCAGCAACATTACAGATGAAGTTAAGTTTGTTCCGTGTCTTCAAGCAACATCCACACTGCAGTTTAGAAGTTAAGTTGTCCAATGTCTATCCAAGAGGCCGACATCACCGGCCGCAAGTTAAGTAAGTTTGTTTTCATGAATTTTCAGCAACATAAGGAACATCAAAGGACATTTAAGATTGTTCCACTGCCTTCAGCAAACCTCACCAACAGTTAGTTTTCCAGTGTCTTCAGCAACATCACGCAGTTAAGTTGTTCCAGTCTTCAGCAACAATCACACAGTTAAGTTGTGCATGTCTCAGCAACATCACACAGTTAAGGTGTTCCATGTCTTCAGCAACATCACCACAGTAAGTTGTTCCATGTCTTCAGAACATCACACAGCGAAGTAAGTTGTTCATGTTTCAGCAACATCATCACAGTTAAGTTCTTCCATGCCTTCAGCAACATCACACAGTACGTTGTTCCATGTCTTCAGCAACTCACCCACAGTTAAGTTGTTCCCTGTCTTCAGCAACAATCACACAGTTAAGTTGTCTCATGTCTTCAGCAGGATATCACCACAAGTTAAGTCTATTGGTCCATGCCTTCAGCATCATCAGGACAGTTACACAAGTGTTCCATGCTTCAGCAACGATCACCACAGTTAAGTACCTACCATGGCATCAGCAACATCACCGTAGGTAGGTCAGTTCCATGTCCCCACCAGGACATCACACGAGGTAAATATGTAATTTGTACCCCCCCTCAAGGGCATCACACATGGTAGGTCGGTAAGTTGTTGCACCCCACCAGCAAGATCATAACAGTTAAGTTGTACCATGCTTCACCACGACATACACAGTAAGTTGTTCCATGTCTTCAGCAACACCCGCAGTTAAGTTGTACCATGTCACCAGCAACATCACACAATGTAGATATGTAAGTTGCATGTCCACCAGCAACGTCACTACAGTTAGGTAAGTTCCCAATCGCCCACTTCAGGCAACATCACAACAAGGTAGGTAGGTCACAGTTGTACCCAGCAGGAGATCACAAAAGTAGGTAGGAAGTTGTACCCCACTATTTCAGCAAAACATCACCACAGGTATGTAAGTCCATGCCACCAGGCAACATCACCACAGTTAAGTTGTAACCCCACATGTTCAGCAACATCACCACAGTAGTAAGTTGTATCCTATGTCTTCAGGACATCAACAAACATTTTAAGTAGGTTCCATGTACCCCAGCAACACTCACAGACAGGTAAGTAGGTAAGTATGTACTTCAGCAGGACATCACACACAGTTAAGTAAGTAAGTTCCATGTCTTCAGCAGACATCATCAAAGGTAAGTTAAATAAGTTTCAATTGTCTTCAGGCAACATCACCACAGAGGAAGTTGTTCCATGTCTTTCCAGCAACAGCACCACAGTAAGTAGTCCAGTTTCTTACCGCACCAGACATTAGACAAGGTAAGTAGGTATGTTCAGGTCTTCAGCAACATCACCACAGGTGTAAGTAAGTTTGTTACCCCACCAGCAACATCACCACAGTAGTAAGGATGCCATGCCTTCGCAACAGTCCACCAGTAGTAGTAAGTTGTCCATATCTTCAGCAACATCAAGGCAGTTAAAGTTGTTCCAGGTTCTTCAGCAAATCATCAGGACAGTCACACAGTTAAGTTTGTTCCATGTCTTCAGCAACATCACTGCAGTTAAGTAAGTTGTTCGTTGTACCCCACCAGACCTCACAAGGTAGGTAGGTAAGTTGTCCCAGCCACCAGGACATCACAACAAGTTAAGTTGGTAGTTGTACCTCAGCAGGACATCACACAGGTAGGTAGGTAAGGTGTACCCCACCAGGACATCACACAAGGTAGGTAGGTAAGTTGTACCCCCACCAAGGACACACACAAGGGTAGGTAAGTGTAGTGTAACCCTTCAGAAACATCACAAACAGGTAAGGTAGGTAAGTCATACCTCACCAACACAGTACAGTAGGTAAGTAGGTAAGTTGTACCTTCACCAGGACATCACACAAGGGTAAGTAGGTCTGTTGTACCCACCAGGACATCACACAAGGTAAGTAGGTTCAGTTGTACCCACCAGGACATCACACAACAGAGGTAAGGTAACCCTACCATGTCTCAGCACATGGTAGGTAGGTAAGTTGTTCCCCACCAGGAACATCATCACACAAGGTAAATGTGTAAGTGTCACACCCAAGGGCATCCACACATGGTAGGTCATCACACAGTTAAGTAAGTTGTACCCACACGACATCACATAAGGTAGGTAGTTGTACCTACACAGTTAAGTTGTTCCATCACACAAGTAGATAGGTAAGGTGTTCCATGCCTCAGGAACATCACCACAGGTAAGTTGTACCCATGTCTCAGCAGGACAAGGTAGGTAGGTAAGTTGTACCCCACCAGGACATCACAACAAGTAGGTAGGTAAGTTGTTCCCCACTAGGACATCACACAAGGTAGGTATTGTAGTGGTGTAAACCTCACAACACACAATCATAGGTAGCGCTAAGTTGTATGTTTTCACCAAGACATCACACAAGGTAGGTAGGGTAAGTTGGACACCCACCAGCGAATCACACAAAGATAGGTAGGTAAGTTGTTCCATCTCACCAGGAAATCACAAAAGCTTAGGTAGGTTAAGTCCCAGGACATCACAAGCGTAGGTATGGACATGTACCCACCACAAATCCAAAAGGTAGTTAGGTAAGTTGTACCCCACACAAGACATCACACAAGGTAGGTAGGTCCAAGTTGACATTAACATAAACCCACCAGGACATCACAAAAGGTAGGTAGGTAAGTTGTACCCCACCAGGACATCACAAAAGGTAGGTAGGTAAGTTGTACCCCCAGGAACTCACACAAGGACATACCTTCAGGACATCACAAGTAGGTAGGTAAGTTGTACCCCACCAGGACATCACAGGAAAAGTAGTAGGTACCCCACCAGTCACCCAAGGTAACCCACCACCAGGACATCACACAAGGTAGGTAGGTAAGTTGTACCCCACAAGGACATCACACAAGGTAGGTAGGTAAGTTGTACCCCACCAGGACATCACACAAGGTAGGTAGGTAAGTTGTACCCCACCAGGACATCACACAAGGTAGGTAGGTAAGTTGTACCCCACCAGGACATCACACAAGGTAGGTAGGTAAGTTGTACCCCACCAGGACATCACACAAGGTAAGTTGTACCCCACCAGGACATCACACAAGGTAGGTAGGTAAGTTGTATCTCACCAGGACATT